TTGGCGCCATGTGCATGCCAGCAGAGGCTGCAGAAATCCTTGGCTGAAATTTTACATGTTGCGTAAAGCTTGATCATTAACTGCAAAAGCTGCGACCCAGAATCCCGTTCAGCTTGGGAAGTAGCATGCCAGGCGCGTGGGCCAGTCGGGGTTCGGCTCCTAGAGTCGGGGCGTGACATGGCATAAGCGTCCAGCTAGAATAGGCTTGACGCCAGAGAGGGCTGCACGATACACAATGACAATCGGAACAGGCGTGATGAGCATTCGATCTCCCAAACGATTAATGCGACGCGTGAGAGATGGTTCAGAGGAGAGGCTGCGGGCAACCTACATCTAACAAAGGCGCACCGTCGCACTGCACCCTGCGCTCTGCACGTGCCACTGCATATCTCCTCTGCCATACTTGCTTCCTATCCCATACACGTCGCCCACCACTCCCGCGTCGCGTCCATCCTCCCGCCTCCCATATGCCTCCCGCCCCCCCCCTCACCCTGCTCCTCCCCTAATGCCCTTCCCACTCCCACACGCGAACCCAATGGCGCCGAACACGTTGAACGAGTGCGTGCGATGATATCAGCGCCGCCCCAGAGCACGTTTGGCAGAGCACGCAGTGCGAGCTCTCAGGCAGAGCGCGCGATCTACCCCGTCGCGTAACACCTGACCACTGTTGGCAGGCCAACGCACAAGGCAGTGGTGATGAAAGAAATTGCCGAGCACAGGACACCTGGATAGCGCATGCCGTGAATCACCACGCAAGTGTGCCAGCAGTTGCCAGCAGACCGAGCAGAGCGAGCACATTGAAAGCTGCCACGGTCGAATTCAAAGTTGAAGAGGACACGCGTCGGACGCCAGCATTCTAACAAGATCGACACAGCACGATATCAGAGACCCCATATACATCACTCCCGCCGTTTCATTGTTTTTGTTCATCATGTGTGTTTTTTCGCCCCCCTCCCAACTTCTGCCCTCCATCTCAGCCTGCAACCCTTCTCCACTGTCTGCCGACAGCCGCCAGGGGCCGCCCGCAGCCCCAGACCGCGCCGTCGGCAGCCGCCAAGGCCGTCCTCGGCCCAAAATCGCTCGGGGGAGAGATTTTCAAATTCCACCGGGAATTCCACCGGGGTGGAACTCGCAGTGGAAAAAAAATCCACCGGCCCAAACCCTGTAAAAAACAATGAAAGTCGCGATGGAATTTCAAAATCCACCGCGAAATCCACCGCGGTGGAATTTGCGATGGATTTTGATTTTGGCCGGGCGGGGGAGTCGGGGGGGCCTCGGGAGAAGCTCAGGCGCCCCTGCACGTGCCCGCGAGCCATCAAAACTTGCGCGCGGGCGCCCGCCACTGCGCACCCTTGCGCCCGAGGGGTGGTCCAGGAGGAACGCGTGGACGGGCTTGGTTGGGGGAGAGAGAAAAAGAGTGGGATGGGCGAGGGAGGGGGATGCACAGGAGGAGGCGTAGCATCACTGATCTGCTGCTGTCGCCGCTGCTCGCCCTCACATTGTAACGCATCTCTCTTGGACCACCCCTCATGGGAGCTGCTGTGCCGTCAGCTCATCCGATCATCACGCCGAGGGGTGCTTGAGGTTGTGGCACCCCATGATGCACGTGAGGCACTCCTGCAGCGAGTTCAGGCTGGGCTCCAGGTTGCACACGCTCTTGAGGATCGCCTTGAAGTCGACGTCGTTGTAGGTCTTCTTCAGCTTGGGGAGGGGCGTGGTCAGTGCAGCCACGAGCTTGGGGTCGGTCTTCGTCGACGTGCCCATCTGCTCGAGCGTCTGCTTGATCTTGGCGGCCGTGTCGTCGTTCTTCGCCCACTTCCAGGCCTCATCCGATTCGATTGAGTTCGTGATCGCGTCGGCTTGGACTTTCAAACAGTTGAAGCGGTCGATGAGCTTCCTCACCTGCAGCATCTTGGCCTTCATCAGCTCGTCAGAAGGGGAGGCGCCACCTCCGCCGCCTCCGCCGCCACCGCCGCCGCCTCCCTGGCGCCTCTTGCGAGCGGCAACCGCGTCGCTGCCGTCCGCGCCGCCGGTGGAGCCACCGCCCGCCGCAGCGGCGCCGCCACCCCTCTCGCCGCCACCCTTGCCGCCAGCCGCGCCGCCGCCACCCCTGCCGCTCCCCTTGCGACGGGGGCCGCCGTCAGCTCCGTCGGCGTCGCCGAGAGCCTCCTCTGCCTTGCGCTTCCGCCCTGCTCCGTCGGCAGTGGCATCTGAACCCGCTGCAGCATCGCCAAGCTGGCGCTGGCCGTCGACCGTTGGCAACGTGATAGCGGACGGCTCGTCCTCAGGAGCGGCGAATTGCATCCTCCTTAATTGCTGAGCATCCTCATCATCAACATCTGCGCTCGTCCTGGTGTCCCTCTATCTCCCGAATTCCTCCTCCATCCATACTCCACCCTTCCTCCTTATCCGTCCTAGCGGCTTCCCCCTCCGCCACTCCCTCCATCCTCCAGTGCCTCGGCATTGCCCTTCCCTCCTCGGCCGAGAGGAGGGGGGGACGATGAGGAAGAGGAGCATCAGGACGAGGAGAAGGAGGTAGAACGGGGCGTGTCTCGTTGGCACCCTGGATCCCCGTCCTCGTTCGACCAGACCTGGTGCATGGACCAAGCTTCCGAAAATGTGCGATTCCAACCGCGGGTGATGTAGAGAGCCCGTAGGCTCTCTGTCATAGGGTCGTATATGACCCACGGCGGCCCCATCTGGATGGCCTTCCCGAAGTAGCGCATCGCCTGCAGGAGACGCATAAGAACCACCTCCCCTAAGACGCGCCCTTTTGCCAGCTTGGCGCCCGCCCGAGCATGAATTATTACACGCCTAGTCCTATGCAATGAGGGGGGAGGGTGCCTCGAAATGAGGGGGGGCAATCGATTGATTACTCTGGTTGAATGTAATCCCCCCCCTGCAGCGGGCCTGACATCACGCAGGAGGAGCTGAGGATGAGGATTGCGAAGGTGAGAAGGGGGAGCAGGAGTAATAATAGGGGGAGGGGGAGGAGGAGGAGGAGGAGGAGGAGGAGGCTGAGGAGGAGGAGGAGGAGGAGGAGAAGGAGGAGGAGGATGAGATGGGGAATCTAGTAAGAGCTTAGCTTCATCGCTTATGCCCAGATGGAAACCATGCGCCTGGATCATACCGAGACGTCCTCCACCTTCTTTATGCGCTATGCGTCCTAGAGGAAGGTAGACCGCGTGCTGGAACTCCTGCTTCTTATCGATGGCAGTGTAGCTCTTCGTCACCTCTGCGGGGCGAGAGCATGAGGTAAGATAGGCGGGCGTGCGATTTAGGCAGGGGGGGGACAGGGGGAGAGAGAGAGTCGAGCGAGCGAGGAGGAGGGATACCTGGGACTTCCATCGCCGTGTCCACTGCAGTGGAACTCGCGATGGGCTTCTTAAATGATGAAGCTTCTGGTGGACGAGGTTTCTGGCGACGGAGGTGTCTAATGGATACGGTATGGGATGGATGAGGGTTTCAGGTACCTGGGAGGTGGTTTCAAGTGGAGGAGGTGAGGAACTGTGACTTATTGTTTTTCCCACACAACCGACCTTCAGCTTCTTGAATTTGTCGAGCGCCCAGCTGCGGCGGAACTCCGCCTTCCTCTTGTTGATCTTCACGCCCGAAATTGAATCATACCTCTTTTTGAGACTTGCATCTCCCTCGTATGCACGTTGCCAGCGGGAGGCCATGGGACTGACCTTCCCGTCTGTTGGCACGGCGAAGTTGTTCTTCTCCACGTCCTTCCAGAAGTCGTACTCGGCCTGAGTGACCTCGTCACCATCCTCGGCCGCCGCCTCGGCCTGCTGTTTCATGCTCGGCGTGACGACCCACCTCTGGGGGTCCTTCAGCTGGCCGTTCTCGTCGATACTCTGCTGCAGCTCGTTCATCGTAGACTCCATGTCCGTATACCCCTTCATGCCCAGCATGTTGGCCACGGCTTTGCTCTGGAACAACTCGACCAGCGAGCGCGCCGCGGCAACCTCGTCCACCTCGCCCTGCGACGACTCGACATCCTGCCAGGCAGGTGCGTCGAGAGAGAGTTCAAGAAGGGGAAGCGGGCAGCGGCTGCAAGACGGAAGCAGGAGAGGATTGGGAGTAGGAGAGATGATGAAATTGATGTGACAGGTTGGCGGGGATTCCATCGCAGTGGAATTCGCGATGGGCGTTCCGAACGATGAGTCTTTCGATGGTGAGATTTCTGGTTACGAATGCTCCCGATGGTTGAGGCTTCGGGTGGAGCGGGTTTTCGGTTGAGGTTGCGGGCCTATGAACTGTGAGGTGGACGAGGTGGAGGGTCGAGGATGAGGAGGGTTGCCAATGTGGAAGATTATGCTGATGATGACGATGATGCTAGTGCTGGTGCTGATGGTGATGCCAATGATGATGACGATGATCCTGTTGATGGTAATGATGCTGATGATGATGGTGGTGGCTATGATGGGGCGATGGCCAATATTATGACTATGCCGCGCGAGCAACTCATCAGCACGTCCTCTTCAGAAGTCCGTGTCGCACGGGGGCGGCGGCGCACCAAACGAACAACCTCCGTCCGTCTCACCTGCTGCCGCCGTTGTAACTATCTGGGCCGTGGGTGGGGTGGCTCCCTGTCCGCTGGATGCACGTTGCTCTGGCTGTGTGGTTTTATTCGGTGTCTGGAAGGCCGTCTCATCCTGCGTCCAAGCAGCTGGCCTCTTCATTTCCTCGGGGGTGGTTCGCTCGAGCTTGTCGTGTCCCGCTGGCTTTTTCATCGCTGGAGCGGCCTCTGCCTCCTCATCTTCACCCTCAGGATCTTCGGCATCGTCCTCCTCCACCTCCGCCTCCTCCTCCTCCTCTTCCTCTTCCTCATTAGCATCCGCCTCCTCTGCCTCCGCAGCCTCCTCAGCGCCTGCTTCGGCATCACCGACTGCGACTCCGTCGTCCGAGTCGTGAACGTCATCGGGTGATGCTGCAGCAGGCTTCTTCGCCACTCCTGAAGGTCTCTTCATTGCGGCCGCTGGTTTTTTGCGGACTGTCTCGATGCCGTGCGACTCCAGCCACTCCGCTTTCTCGACCTCGAGCTTGGCTTTGTCCTTGCGCCCCATGGTGAAGTCCAGCGCCGCCTGCGCGGCCCACTTCTTGGCATCCTCGAAGTATTCAGGCTTGTACCCGCGCAGCTGGAGGAGCTGACCACTCCCGTGCTGTATTTGCAGCCATTGCCCTCGGGTCTTGTGGTTCACGATGCAGGTGATGACGGAGGCGCCGTCGAGCTGGCCCTTGAACAATCGGAATTGGCCAGTCGACTTCTTGTCGCTCAGCTGGTCGGCGTGCGTCCCAACGACCTCCCACTCGTAGTCGTCGGCCCACGTCGCGACCAGTCTCTGCTTGCCGTCGACCTTCCTGGCGATGATGTACTCCTTGCTGTCGTCGGAGTCGGCTTTCCTGCGCCAAGCTGCCTGGGGCGGTTCGATTAGGCACTACGTCACTCACCCACGCCAATCCCATTCCTCTGCTCCTCCTCCTTCCCCTCCTCCTCCTCCTCCTCCTCCTCCTCCTCCCCCTCCTCCTCATCCCCCTCCTCCTCCTCCTCCCCCTCTTCCTCTTCCTCCTCCTCCTCCTCATCGTCATCATCATCATCAGCATCACCATCCACATCATCATCATCATCATCATCATCATCATCACCAGCAGCACCATCACCATCACCATCACCATCACCATCACCATCATCATCATCATCATCATCATCATCATCATCATCATGATCCGCCTCCTGCTCCTCCTCCTCCTCCTCCTCCACCTCCTCCTCCTCCTCCTCCTCCGCCTCCTCCTCCTCCTCCTATTCCTCACCCCCGTCAAGTACGTATATTCCTCATGGTCGTGTTCCTCCTCCACCTCCTCCTAAAGCCTACGCCTACTTTGGCTCGTCTAGCGCTGCCTGCATAGTGGGCTCGTAGCCGAGCTCCCAGCCATCGCGCTCCTCCAGGATGTCAGCAGGGCGCTTCTTGCGCCTCTTCGACGCTGGCACCTGCTCGGAGTGCTTGGACAAGGGTGGGAGGGATATGGGCCCCCTATGAACATGCGGTCCTCTAATCCCGCCTCCGCCTGTCGCTTCCAAAACGCCTCCTCGGCCTCCTCCTCCTCCTCTTCCTCATCAAAGTCCGAATTGTCGCTGCCGCCATCGCATTCGACCTAGTGGAGGTAGGGATTAGCAGGCGAGCGCAGGCAGCCCTAAAGGAGAAGACGGGCCAGGAAGAGGGGGAGGAGCAGGAGGAGGAGGAGGAGGGGGAAGGGGATGGGGGAGGGGGATGGGGGAGGGGGAATGGGAGGAGATGAGGGAGAGCAGCACCGGAGGAGAAGGAGAAGGAGGATGAGCTGGAGGGACTAGGTGGGACAGTTAGTAATGCCCACGGCACCTCTGGCTCTGAAGCTTCCGTCGCACCACCTGGGCCTGCGCCATCTCCTGCATCCGCAGCTCCTGCGGCGTCGGTCTCGTCTCTGCCGTCGATGGCGAACACCTGGGCCCAGGCAGCGGGAGGCTTCCTCTGGGCTAGGTGAGGACACTGCAAAATTGGAGCTGGTGCAGAACAGCATATATGCACACCGAGCCCGCATTCGGAGTTCCATCAGAGATCCACCGCAATGGAACTCGCGATGGATTTCCGAAAGCGAGCTCGGTATGTATATCTGCACTTCTGCACCGCCTCCAGCTGTTGGCCCTACGTATACCCAAGGTCTTCAGCAGCGCTTGCGAAACATCACGGAGCATGTTTCGCAACATTTTTGCAGTGTCCTCTGCCCAGCCGCCCGCGCCAGTGGAGAGCTTCCACGCCTCCTCGTTCCTCGCCGCCACGGATTCCAACGCCTCCTGCGAGTAGGAGGCGCATGATGGACGAGATGGGAGGATGAGCAGGAGGAGAAGGAGGAGGAGGAGGAGGAGGAGGAGGAGGAGGAGGAGGAGGGTGTCCTTCGCAACCCGCTGGCTCAGCGTGCCCATAACGTGCTCTCGCGTGGCCTTCAGCAGATCTTTGTAGTGCAGCAGCCGCGACTGGTCGAGGGTCGACTTGTGGAGCTTGTCGGTGCTGTAGACCACGGAATCCGCCTGTTCAGTGGGCGGCGGAAGGCGGGCGACGCGACGACGAGAGCGGGAACAGCAGGAGTGAGGAGGATTTGGAATAGGTGAGACACGGCGGAGTAGGATGAGACGAGGAGGAGGACGAGGAGGAGGCGAGGTGGAAGAGGATGAGGAGTAGGAGAAGGATGAGGGGGGGGATGAGGAGACGAACGAGGTGTAGTAGGAGAGGGTGCACGCCCGCCTTGCCGATGTGAAAACTCCACACCAGTATGAGCTTGGAGATCTGGCTCTTCTCGAGAGCCTCTTTCTCGGTCTTGTCGAGCTTCGGTGTCATCGCGGCGGAGCCCTCCACGCGCCTCGCATAACTGCGGCTTTCCTGAGCCGTAGCAGCGGCTTGACCGGAGGAGGAGTGGAGGGGGAGGAGGAGGAGGAGGAGGAGGAGGAGGAGGAGGAGGAGGAGGAGGAGGAGGCTGAGGAGGACGGGGGGGGGGAGAAGGAGGGGGAGAAGGAGGGGGAGGAGGACGAGGAGGGAGGGGGGCGGGAAGGAGGGCGAGGAAGGGGAACGAGTAGGGGGGCAAAGACGAGGAGGGGCGGAGGATGAGGAGAGGAGGTTACGAGGATTACGAAGGCCAGAGGAGCAGGAAGAGGAGGAGTAGGATTAGCAGGAGGAGGAGCAGCAGTGGCGTCAGCGGCGGCGCCAGCGGCGGCAACCCCAATCGATCCTTGATGGTCGATTCGACGTCGTTCTTCGCCTTCTCGGCGGCCCGCCGTCTGTGCTTCGGCGGGGTCTCTGGGCCAGCGCTATCCTCCGTGGGGCACTGGAACTCTTCTCCTCTGAATCCTGCTCCTCGAAATCCCTCTCGTTGCCCTTCTCCTCATCCTCGCACTCCTATTCGTCCCCGTCGTTCTTCGAGTCATCCTGTTCCTCGCCCTCACTTGTGTCCACATTGTATCCCCCCTAAACACACATCGCGGAATCCATCGCGATGAATTCCGCGATGGAATCGCCTCCCAACTGAGACGGTCCACAGCTGGAGGGAAGAGGTGGCGACGACGACGACGACGACGACAGCGGCGAGTCCTCGGCGGCGGACTGCTGCGCGGCCACAACGCAAGCCATGGCGAGGTCGTACTCCTGAGGGGCCAGCGGGCAAGTTACAAACTCCATCGCAAAATCCATCGCGATGGATTTTGCGATGGAAATTGGACTCCACGCTCCATCGCGGAATCCATCGCGATGGATACCGCGATGGAGTTTGGAGGGGTGGGTGAGGAGGAGCAGGAGGAGGAGGAGGAGGAGGAGGAGGAGGAGGAGGAGGAGGAGGCGGAGGAGGCCGAGGAGGAGAAACGACAAGAAAGCGCTCCTTGGATTGCCAGCCACGCCCATCGCTCCCGTCGCTGCAGCGGGACTCTGGGTTGGGCTCAACGACCTCGATGCCCTGGGCCGCCGCGGTCTCCTTGCTCGCGCTGATGGCGATGGCCATCTCATGGACCTCCCTCGCCTTGAGCGCCCGCTGGACATCCTCCTCGGTCAGGCTCGCCTGCAAGGCCTCGTCATAGTCCGTATCGAGAGAGTCATCTCCCACCCTTGCCTGGCTATAGCCACCCTCTGGCATCATAGCGTCCAACTTCTTCTGCGAGAGGGGCGCCCCGACGGGCGCAGCGAGCATGTCCTCGGCCTCCGCGTCGACCACCCCCTCGAGAGCATTTAATGCCGAACCAGAAGCGAAGCTTCGCGCTCAACACTCCGCAAAATATAAATGCGGTCGTTGAGCTAAACCTCACGATGGTTCAACATTAGCTGCCCGTTGACCTGGAAGGCCGCCTGCGCCGCCGCCTGCGCCGCCCATGCCTCGCCCGCCGCCTGGCGGACTGCCTGCAAGTCCATCGCCGTGTTCGACAGCGGCGCCTCATCCGAGGACTCCGCCTGCGCAGCCTCCTCCGCCGGTGCAGCCGCCAAGATTGGCACTGACGCCGTGCCCGCTGCCTCCCCCGAGACCGCCGCCACCGCCGCCGCCTGCGCCTCGTGCTCCGTGGCAGGGACTGTGGCTGAACCGCTGCTGGGCGACTCCGCGGTATCAACGCGGGTGTTCTGCGACGCGGCCGCCGCCACTAGATCTCGCAACTGCTGCACCTCCCTGTCCATCTTGGCGATCTGCTCCCTGAGCTCGGCGTTCACGAGCGAGAGGTCCTCGGCCGTCTCGGCCGAGCTCGACATCCTGGGTTGGAGCTTGAGCGCCATGCCCAGTGGAGTCCGATGAGGGCTTTTGGGCACGTGGTCCCAGGTGATATCCTTCACCATGAAAGGCTTGAAGCAAAAATGCTGCGATAAAAGCGCAGACGGAGGAAACGAACGGGGAGGAGGAGGTCCAGGCAGAAGAACGATGGTGTCGACAGCGGCAGCGGCAGACGACGGCGACGACGAGAACGACGTTGACGACGACGACGACGACGACAACGACGACGACTACGACGACGACGACGACTACGACGACGAACACGAGACGACGAACACGACGACGAACACGACGACGAACGCAACGACCACGAAGACGACGACGACGCCGACGCCGACGAACACGACGACGAACACGACGACGAACACGACGACGAACACGACCACGAACACGACGACGAACACAACGATCACGAAGACGACGACGACGACGACGACGACGACGACGACGACGACGACGACGACGACGACGACGACGGCGGCAGCGGCGGCGGCGGCGAGGAGGAGGAGGAGGACGAGGAGGAGGAGGAGGAGGAGGAAAAGGAAAGGAAAAGGAGGAGGAGGAGGAAAAGGAGGAGGAGGAGGAGGAGGAGGAGGAGGCAAAGGAGGAGGAGGAGGAGGAGGTGGAGGAGGAGGACTATTTACACATACATATTAATGATCCCTCGTTTTTTTTTGCCCGATGACCCGCGAACGAGTTGAGTTTCACATGATATGTGAGCAAGCCTACGTGCTAGCATACACTACAGCGTTACATGTGTGTGTTTTCCAACGACAGCGCTTACATCATAAGTTTTATCATGGGCCAACTTTAGCCAGATCCCGATTCGGGATCGGAGGATTTTCCAGATCCCGATCAGCCATCTAACGATGTCTAGAAGCGCTGAAGAGTCCGATCCCGAATCGGGATCGGACGGACCTCTGGGAGAGGGACTCGGCCATGGCGCCGACCGAATCTGGATCGGTGACAACTGCATCCCAGGCCGCTTTCCACTGAGGGGCGCTCATGCGGCGCAACACAGCCCTCCAGGGGAACCGGTCGTCCGCTTTCTTGTCAAAGTCCCCGTGGAGCTCGTGGAATTCCTTCAGGAGCTTGGCCTCCGAAGCCTCGAGGGCCGCGTCCGTGGCGATCTGGACGGCGCCGCCGGGTCCAGCGGCGGTTTGGAGCTGCTCGACAACGGCTGCGTAGACTGCCCCTCCCGGCGCCACCGCGGTGGCGATGGCTTGCTCGATGAGCTCCTTGGCCCGCTCCTCGGAGATCGACGCCATTGCCGCTGGATGCGGGGCGGGGGACGGCTGGGAAAAAAGGGGGATAGACCACAGGGTCACCAGGTATAGTCTGCAGGCGGGAGGTCTGGACCAAAGGGTTACCAACTAGACGTCTGAAGTGGGAGGTCTGGACCAAAACGTTACCGGTCAGAGCCTCGAGGCGGGAGGTCTGGACCAAAGAGTTACCATTCGGAGCCTTCGGGCGGAAGGTGTGGACCAAAGAGTTAACAAAGAGTTGCCACTCGGAGTCTTCAGAAGGAAGTGCTGGACCAAAGGGTTACCAGTTAGAGCTTGCAGGCGAGGAGTCTGCACCAGAGGGTTACGTGATATCCTTCAGCTGCCGCTGCTGCCGCTGCCGATGATGATCCGCATCCTCCTCTCCTTATCCTCCTCCCCCCGGCGTTTCCAGACCCTCGCCCACCCTCTCGTTCTGCCGTGCGCTCGGGTG